GCCGTTGAACGGTTAAAGTCAAGCAGTGAACTTGCTGTTGACGGTCACCGGCCCCTTTTAGGCTGAACGTATTGTTGCACTCTCTCTTTCTGTTTTCCTTTGTCTTTTTCTTTTACGAGCCCCTGGATTTAGATATCACACAATCAAGAAGCATTTCTTTCTTCAGTTGTGGGCCCAAAAGCATTTTCCAACAACCCATTTGTAATTCTGTCAGAGACAAGCACTTTTGGTCAAGTGATTAATGACCTTCAAGACGGGATCGGCTCACGACCAAGTATGTTGCCATGTTATTAACGGAAATGTGCCTTATCAATAAGAAGACAGTTGTTGTGCATTAATAAAACTAACAAACTTTAAAATGTCACATGACTACATAAGACTTCCAATAAAAGATGTAGATGTTTTTATATATTTATTTCTTTGGCTAGTAGATGTTAGTAATTTACCGTTCTTATATATAATAGATGTTAATAATTTGTCTCTATATCTTGTTGAACTTGAATTATTTTACTTACAATGCACTCTCAACCATATCCACTAGGCATGAATCCTTTCATTCTCCATTTCTTGAAGCCTTCTCATTCTCTCTGCACTTACTAGGCACTTGGTTATTCCCCATTAAAAACAGAAAACAAAAACAATTTGAATATATTCAAGACTGCATTTGTTTTTGGCTGCGCGATCCATTAGTACTCACTGTAATTTATTTGGCTGAATTCAATTAGCTTTGAAACTATAATCTCAAAGGCTTTAATCAACCATAGGCCAAAGTGTTAGCATTATTGTCATTAATTCAAGTTTTAATTTTGAAAACAATTTCAGCCAATTGATTGTTGTTGCAAGGTAGCGGGGAAGGGAAAGTAAATTGAAAGCTTGATCTTTCAAAGCTTCTTGAGAACAAATTCGAAATATCTCTTTTAATTTACTTGGTTGAAAAGCAAAGCACAGTGACAATCAACTTCTATGATTTATGAAAATTGGAGGAAGTTATTTCTATGATTCGTGATTCTTCTTTTAGTAGCAAGACTCCCATGGGCCTAAGGCCTCCACCTAGACAATAAATACAGAACAACATTGGCATATCGATGCCCATCTTCCCGTGGGCCTTTGGGTTCATTCAGGGGCCTTACTTTGACAGTCTGTAAACTCTTTAGCTGGCCTTCTTTGTGTGAACCCGTACAATATTTCATTCCTTGCATCCCAAATGCGCCAGATTTAACCTGATAAATTCCAGAAAAGACATTGCAGAACCCCACGAAACAAGTCCAAGATTTAGACCAAAAAATTTCTCCAAATTAAAATATGTATTTTTTTAAAGATAAAATACTCTTATTTTTTAAATTTTAATTAAAATTATATAAAAATTTATTAATTTTAAAAATAAATACCTCGTCTTAAAAAAATATTTTTTACTAAACACACCATTAATCAACAATTAGCCTTTTTGTCAATTTGTTAATAGGATAAAAGTAAAAAAATAATTTTATTTTTGATTAATTGTTATAATTATTATTACAAAATTTTATTATTTTTTTAGTAATTAAAAGAAAAAAACTCTCCATTAGGAGTATCGGAACTCCCCTGAGGAGGCCCGATCATGCTCCTCTTTCATGAGGAGTTGGGTTTTATTTTTTTTTTATTTTTTTAAAAAATTACAATAATAATTTCTTAAATTAATAACAAATATTTTCATTTTTTTATTATTTCTTTTGAAGATTTTTGTATTTTTAGAGTAAAAATTAATAAATTTTCTTATAATTTTATTCAAAATTTAAAAAATAAAAACATTTGACTTTTTTATTTTAAAAAAATACACATAAAAAGTTAATTAACGAATCAAGTTACACTAAAAAAAGAAGAAATCACTTGAAAAGATAGGTATCCAGACCATTTTCCATTTCGACAAATTAATTAAAATAGAATCCGTACGTGTGACGTGTCCTCGTTAATGCAACACCAGAGCAGGCAGTAATAACTGTGTATATCTTGTTTTTATTTAAATTAATGAATTCTGAAGAAGGTTTGAGTATTAGAGAAAGGAATTAGCATTAACATACGGAAAAATAAAAATGAATTTGCCAATTGGCATTATTATCCAATGCAAACAGCTATGAAATTCAAAAACTCTATGTACGTAGATGTTTACACATTTATCACATACCCATTTAATTGAATATAATATTAATTTATTAATTCAGTATTGACTTCCTAATTTATATAAAGTTAGATCTACACATAATCAAGTACATAAATTCTTTTGTGTAATGTTTATTTTTTCGTAAAGTATAAAATATAATTCAAAAAATTAAATCTGTAATTTTTTAAAGGGGGTCCTTTCGGGTGGTTTTCTGGAGTGCTTTCCTCCGGTGTTGGTGCGCTACGATCACATCTGCTGAGGATCTTTGCGATGGAGCCTTCTGTGGGCTCACTTTTGGAGGGGGTGTTGGTTTTATGGGAATCGGCGAAGCCTTTGGTCTTTTGTGAGATTGGATTCTGTCTTTGGATGCTGTTTATGGTCCTTTGGCTTCTCTTCTCAGTGTCTTCTCTTTTTGTGGACTTGCTTTTTTTTTTTGAAAGTCATTAAAAGAGATTTCATTAAAACCAGGGGAATGAATATTTCCCCATATCTGAAACAGGCCATGATTACAAAAGAAATCCACAGATATTGAAAGTGATGCCCACTACCAGCTGGTACACCCCTCAATTTCCCCATATCTTTTTGTGGACTTGTTTGACTCTAAGCAGGAGAAGAGATGGACCTGTCACTCATAGGCACTTCTTTTTCTGTTTTTGAAGGTTGTTTGCTTTGGTCTTCTGTTGTTAGGATCCTTTGCTGTCAATGACTTTTTGTGCAGTGAATTTTTTGTAAGTGTACAGTTACCTTGCCCTCACCAAATTTCATGTCATTAAAGTTTTTTGTTAATTAAGTTTGGAATTTGTCATGATACTACCGATTATGAAAGAATAAAATTTACTTTTAAAAAAATAAATTTTTATCTCGAATTCTTATTAAATTATATTGTTATATCTCTTATTTAGGTATAATTCAATTTTTTTTGATAGGTCATTAGATATTTCATTGAAAAAATGATAGTTACCTCAATCGTATCCCGCTATAGAGAAAACAAAAATTTCTGGACATCTGCGCCCCATTCGACATTCAAGCCCTGTACACACTGCCATCCAATTCTCAGTCCCTAATAAAATGGCCCATATGCAGCCAGCCAACAGAACAACCTATCACCTCGAAAATCAAAGCTTGGGATGGCTATCCTCCAACATTCCAGGAAACGTACACGATACAAATATGGACAAAAAAATAGCCAGCAAAACTAGACGTCCCCGCCCACGATACATACCAAAAACTCATAAAGCAATTATAACATCACAAACCAAAACCATCAACCAGGAAAGCTAGAATTATCCAAATCAGGCTAGCGGCAGAAATTAACAAGCAGAAATCGCCACCAAAAACAGCTCATAAGTTCCATTTGTCAACCATGAAAATTGTCTCACCAAAAGCCAAAGCGAAGTACCTCATCGAAGTTTCCAGTTCCGCCTCTAGATCCGTGCCACTAGCAGCTCCTCCCTAGATATATATGCCTGTTTTCTCCAAGTAGTCAGAGCATTCATTTGCCTCTCTCAGGATGTGCACCACCTTTACAAACCCAATCAGCTCCTTCAGCTGGTCAATGGTCTGAAATTCCCTCAACCATCTCCATGGTCTTACTTGCAAATGAAGAAACAACATTAATAGAATGAGTTTCAATAATCAAACATTTTAAACCTACCATTTAGATTGACAGAAGATGTCCATAATTGTGCAAATTACCCTAAATTTAAAATAATTAAAGTCAGCCTCTCCAACAGGCCCTAAGAATAACACCAGCGTATTCCCTGTATCATCTCTCAACACACATCCTATGCTTTCCTCTAGCAACATCGTCACTATTAAATTTGAGATACAATTAAATCTTTTTCCATCAAAATTTTAGACATCTTTTATTGATATTTTATATTTTGAAGTATGTCAAAACGATGACACTCAAACTAGGGAGCTTTCCTCGTGTCTTGATGGTTAAATGCATGCCTGTTAGGATCAATGGATCAAATGCTATCCAACTCAGAGAAACCCTCGTTGGCTAATAAATCTATTTTATTTTAATCAAACAAATGTTGGATTCTCTCTTGGTCAATTTCATAAACTTTTCCTAACGTTATAGTTCTCTGCCTCACACATCAGCCCACGTGCCGCATTCATCGGTCTCAGAAATTCTAGGTCTCGTAGCCGGAGAAAGGGCCAGTGTTGGGGATAAAGAATCATCTCTGTAAAGTCAATTCATTGATCAGAAGGAGACGTTGAGCAAGCCATTAATTCTCTTCTTGAAGCTTAAAAGGAGGGGAACGAAACAAATTAAACCGTTTTTGTTCCACTTGCTAATTAAACTTGGTAGTTTATTTTTTCCATCTTTATTTGTCCAAATGTCATTTGTTAAGCAAATATTATTAATTCAAATTGTTTGCTTAATAAATGAGACTTAGAATCTATAATCCAGCTTGATAGGAGAAGGGAAGGTATTGGTATTCCTCGTGGCCAACTACCAGTTTCCTTTGGCTGTGGTGGGTGTGAAATAATGTACTCGGGTCTTTTCCTTGGCATGCTCTCGCATAGTTGTTGGAGTCTCGTCCTCAACGCCTCTTTATCCATTGCCTAAAAGAAAAACTGAAAAGGCGCTCTGTAGAAAAGAATCTCAACCCTGCCCACCACCACAAAAAGGAAAATTTACAATTAGGAAGAAAATTCAATGGGCCCTCTAAGGGGATTATCATTGCAACAAAAACTGACAAAAACCATACCAAGAAATATAATCATATAAGACAACTAAGTTTTCCATTTGTGTCATTTATAATTAATTTTTGTTACTATAATATTATTTTCTTAACAAAATTTTGAAGATCCTGAACGCGACTTTCTTAAGATAAAACACCCAGGTTTCGTTGATAGACGGGTAGCTCAGACCTCAGGTTAATTTTTTAATTACATAAAGTCAATTTGACGCCAAAAACAGGTCCCAAGGTCCCTTTGCTCTGTCGTGTAACTCCCACCATGTTCCAGTATATAAATTAAGTGCTCTCTTCTCTTGTCGCGACAGGGTGCTGAGAAAAGGGTGATCATCAGGATTTGCTCCTGCTGTTTTTAAGTTCTTCATCCTTCTTGGACTCTGAGAAAGAGCCGCAGGCATGGCTGTAGGAGGTTTCGCCGTTGACGGTCCTGTCAGCGGCGCCGTCAATGGCAAGATCACGGCTTCAGTGGTGATTACCTGCATCGTCGCTGCAACAAGCGGCCTCATATTTGGGTATGACATCGGAATTTCAGGTGCTATTTCGTTTATCCTTTTAACATATTTAAATTATCTGACAAGAACATCAGCTACCTACGTACACTGTTTACTGTGTTAGGTTGGAACTAGGAAGGATGGAAGAATAAAAGAATGAAACGTTATTTATTTGGGTCATAACACTTTAGTCATTGAATTAAACTTTCATCTTTGCATAACGCACTAGTATAATGTTTCTGTTACTCTACTTTTTCCTTGGTTATTATTTACAGTTCTGGTCCTTACACTAGTAAATTAAATAGAGAAAATCATACTGCGGGATTCATTCGTAATTCATTTAAGTTTGCTAGCAGTTTTGGCCTCAGCAGCTGGAGGGGTTTCAGTAACAAAAATGAAACAAATTTTATACTATCCGAACATCAATGGAGTAGTATTTTCAAATTTAATTTCATTCTCCATTAAAAAAAACATTTTACAGGAAACAAAAGTAGAGTAGAGGCAGGATTATAAAAAACAAAACCGAGGTTTCAAAGTTCCAAGCTGTGCTTTAGGTGGCTAAATAGAGAATTTCTTGATTCTGGAACCAGGGGAGATTCAGGGGAATATTAGTTCCACTATTCCAGAGCATGTTGGAAGTACCAGATCCTTATCTGGATTTAGTTAAAAACTTGTGGTGGCACTTTGCTATCCTGGATAATAGAATTATCTGCGAATAAGGAAAACATACTGAAATAAGTTATTTGGAAACTTTGACTGGTAGATGGTACTGTCCAATCTTTTTCTTAAAAAAAAAAAAATTGAATAGTTTTTCTTTTTCCAAAACCTAAGTCATCAATATTTAAAGTCATTTGACGGTCATGATAGTTAGGTTAGTTGTGGACACTCCAATTCACTAGTCAAATTTGGACTAATGTAACTTTGTTATATATAGTTTGCCATCTGGTCCTCCTCATTAACAAGGTAGCTATCGATGGTCATTGGTTGATCGTGATTTTCAATGAAACATAGTCAAGCAAGCTAATCAATTCTCCATTTGGGATCTAAGTCTTTTTCATAGCCTCTGGGCAGTTGAAATGTTTTTGTACAGACCTAGAAAAATCTGATAATATGTACCTACTAGCCAGAAAGGAAAAGCCTAAGCCTAAGTATTGGGTTAACTAACAAAAGAATTGAAGCATTAGGTAAGCTGTTTAATAGTTATGAACCGCCCTTTAGAATGAACACATAATATGTAATTATTACATTATAATTAATTAATTACAATTCAAAATTGTGTAGGATCTATCAAAATGCTATGTGAAATCCACACTTATAAATGGTAGATCTCTGCATAATTTTTTATTTTGATTGGATAATTGTAAGATTGTAATGAAAATAATTACAGGTGAAATTCTCCATTAAGAATGGAAAATATTTGCAAGTTAGGGGAAATTGCTAATGGTTAGCCAAAAAAGAAGGGAAAATGAAAAGGATGATTAGGTGAGAAGTGTCTCCCATTAGAACTAAACCCTGCTAAACATGAGGTCGATGTTGCATGTAATGCTCAATTATATCCAAAATGACAATATTTAAATTGGATTTCTTATATATCCCTTATTTTAGATTTCACAATAAAAAAAATCTAGAATTTAACATTGTTGACTTCTATGCTAATTATCAATAAATTTAAATACTACATAACTTGTTGTAATTAGGAAACCTGAAAAAATATTATATAAAATTTTTTATCTAAATTCTAACAAATAAATATTATAAAAGTTCCTGCTTACACTTCTTGATTGAGGAATGAGGATATGTTCTGCTCAGGTAAAATTCATTTCTTAGTTGTATCAGCCATTCAGCATCTAAGCTTCTATACCGAGCAACCCTGTTTGAATGATTCTTAGCACTTCAATATTTTACATTAATAATTTAAGCTCATATCGTTTTCTTGATCTATAATCACATTACCGCTTTAACTGGCCCATAAAATCTTGAAAGAAAAAGGAGATGAAACAAAAATTAATATTATATGTCAATTCACATTAACAAATTAGAAGTGAAGGTTGCATATAATTTAAGATAAATAAAATACCAAAAACTTGAATCCGCTACTATTACTGACACATTCCCTGGTATTGTTGGCAAAAATTCGCAGGAGGTGTGACAACCATGGCACCATTTCTTCAGAAATTTTTCCCCGCAGTATATAGAAAGGCAGGGGAGGCTGAAAGAAACATGTACTGCATGTATGATAGCCAAGTTTTAACGGCATTTACTTCTTCACTATATTTGGCCGGTTTGGCTGCATCACTGGTTGCTAGCCGTCTCACTGCCGCAATTGGTCGCAGAAACACCATGGTGATAGGTGGCCTCACCTTCTTGGCTGGTGCTGCCATCAATGGTGGCGCTGCTAATGTTGCCATGCTTATCTTAGGCCGTATCTTGCTTGGATTTGGAGTTGGTTTCACCAATCAGGTAACTAGCTGCTACTTTACATTTATACCTTTGTCTTAAGTTTAATATATAACCCTATTTTTTTCAAGAGACATGACCAAATTCTTTTCTGTTTCTTACCACGGTAAACATGAGCACTTGTGTCATAATAAATGCAAACATGGATAATATTGTCTACTTTCTAACAAAATTAACGTTAAATTTTCTTCTAAACTACAATGAAGGCAACTCCTGTATACCTCTCTGAAGTGGCACCACCAAAATGGCGAGGTGCCTTCAACACAGGCTTCCAATTCTTCATAGGCATTGGGGTGGTCGTAGCCAATTGCTTAAACTTCGTAACCGCTAAACGCAGCTGGGGCTGGCGCCTGTCTCTTGGCCTCGCCGTAGTACCCGCTGCCATCATGACAATAGGCGCACTCCTCATTTCGGACACACCCAGCAGCCTGATAGAACGAGGCAAATTGGAGCAAGCCCGACAGTCTCTTTGCAAAGTCCGAGGGAAACACTCTGATGTGGAAGCTGAGTTTGCTGAGCTTAAAAAGGCCAGTGATGTGGCCAAAGAAGCCAACCGAGAACCCTTCAGGACAATATTTGAGAGGCAATACAGGCCTCACCTGGTCATGGCAATTGCCATACCATTTTTTCAACAGGTTACTGGGATTAACATCATTGCATTCTACGCACCGGTTCTATTCCAATCAGTTGGTTTGGGAAGTGATTCAGCTTTGATAGCAGCTATCATACTGGGGTTGGTTAACCTTGCCTCGATCCTTGTGTCTACCGGTGTAGTTGATCGGTCTGGTCGGCGGTTTTTGTTCATGGAAGGGGGAATTCAAATGTTTGTCTGTCAGGTATGCATTCGCTCTTATCATCTCTTCTTCCTTTTTTCCTTTCAAGCTCTTGTTTGTACTCCAGAGTTTGGGAGATTGAAGGGAAAGGGGAAGGGCCTGGCATCCTTGGGCTAGAGGAGCCGTGGTTTCTTAATTGGGCTTATATCTGGGCTAAATTGAAGGCCTGTGAAGGAATTTAAAGACCCATCTGTGATATATTAAACGAATATTTGCAAGAATTGCTGAATGAAATTTCTATTCAGTCAATTGCTAAAATTAACTGAATTTTTTTTTTTTGGAAATCTTGAAAAGGTTGGGGTGGCAGTCCTGCTAGCGGTTACAACAGGAGTTTCAGGCGACAAGCAAATCAGCAAGGACTATGCCATACTGGTACTGGTTCTAATGTGCATATACGCAGCTGGATTTGGTTGGTCTTGGGGGCCTCTCAGCTGGCTCATCCCAAGTGAAATCTTCCCCATCAAAATTCGGCCCACGGGCCAAAGCATCAGCGTTGCTGTCAACTTTGCAACCACCTTTGTGCTGTCTCAAACCTTCTTGACCATGCTTTGCCACTTCAAATTTGGCACTTTCTTGTTCTACGCTGGTTGGATCGCCTTGATGACCATTTTCGTTGCTCTCTTCCTCCCCGAAACAAAAGGAATTCCTCTCGACTCCATGAATTTAGTTTGGGAGAAGCACTGGTATTGGCGTCGGTTTGTTCGTGGTTAAAAGCTAGCAATTAGTTGAGGCAATTAATGTTGGAAATGACAGCGTCTCTTTTCCTTTCTTTGTCCATTGTTTCTTCCTTTTCATTTTTCTATTTCTTCCTCAGGATCCGGGCCATTTGATTGCCACATTGAATTGGTGTGAATATTTCTCATAATGGTGCCGTAGCTGGTTCTCTAGATAGAGTAAGGGAGCATTATATTAACATCAATCATTCTCATTCTCATTATCTCATGTATCATGATTGACAAACCCACTTTATATGTGAAATTAATTAATGGAGAGGTGAGTGGTGTTCAATCTTTTAAATATGGAAAAAAAATTATCATCTAAACTAAGTATAGCTAGCTAACTTCTTTCAATATATATGACAATTACAAGACATGCAAAATGTTAGATTTTTAATTGTTTGTATAACCACACGTATATATTTATAGTCTCATCATCAATCAGCGAGAAGCATGTGATTTGGCCACATTAATCTGCCAGTGCCGCCCGATGTTGATGCTTTATATTGCATTTATAACATAGGTAGGCTATTTTCAAGTTGTACAGTGAGTTAGATAATCAAGGCTGCAACAGTCGCTTTTCAAGCTAGCAGAAATCTGATCAAAAGAACGATGGCTACCAGAACTAATAATTTTGGAAGGTGAGACCGCAAGTTTTAATAGATATACCCAATCTTCCGTACCTAACGCCGGCTCGTCTCTCTTCTTTCTCATGTTTGTTTTTATTGTTACAGTTTCCTCTTTCTTTTGTTGGTTTTACTTCTAAAAGCCAAAAGCATTTTTTTATAATTTTTTTCCTTATTTCAAATGTTTTCTTCAACCAAAAAATAACTGGCCTAAAAGTTTAAACTATTAGATAAAAACCAATAGTAAATCAATAAACTTTAATGTCTAATATCCTCATCAGATATATATATATATATATGTACTTAATAATATTTTTTAACACAAAATCATACATGATAATAATAGATTCAAGTTCTAGCTAAGACATTAGGTTGATTAGGCTTTATTACCATATTACTTATAAGCTATGTAGCTCATCCTTATCAAATTTTAAAATGTTAGGTGACATTTTTCTTTGTTTCTTTTTGTTTTTTTTTCAATTATTTGTTTTCATTCCTTTTCATTTTAAATGTTTTGGGGCAAAAGTAATTTCACTATTAGAAGAGTCTTTTAATCTCGAAATTAACTCTTAAAGTTTAAATTAATATAAATAAGTTATATGTTTGTATGTATGTATGAGTATCTATGCATTTTGTAATTCTTTTTTGTAGGCAGCACGTATGTATGTAATTAACTGCAATGTAGGTATAAAGCTTGGTTGATACATAAATGCTAGACTCGTAGACTAACTTGGTTGAACTGGCAAGTGGGTTATTGGCAAAGATATTCAAAATATAGAATTCTTGGCTTAATTTGACTTCTAGATTAAAGCTTAGCAACAATATTAGATGCAATAATGGGAATTGTACTATAAACTTCTTTTTAAAATTAATTAATGATGTAATAATCAGGATCACGTAAAATTTGACGAATGAATTGTCTATTTTGTATTTAAAATTTCATGAATTTTGACACGTAAAATTACTTGCTATTATTTCATTTTTCAAGAAACTTCAAAAGGTAGCTTCAAACCAGCATGCAAAGCTACAAAGAAGTGTGAAAATGCCATATCGGCACTTTCAGAATGTGATTCGATATGAACCCTTTCTTGGTACAGAAGCAATGCTCACTGAAAACGCCACAAATTCTCTTTCCTTTTGGAAACCAGTTTTACAAGATTCGTGATTTCATAAAATAGCACGATTTTCAAACTTAACTGACCTCGGCGCATTGATCTCAACTGCCCAGATTGAAAATACAAGCTGAAACACTGAAACCAGCAAGGCCCCGCAGAGCCAGTGAAGTGATTGTATAGCCTCATAGGATCTCCTAGCTTCGGTGATCGTTTGATCAATCACTGCGGCGATTTATTAGGGCATTGTAAATGACGATGAAGCATTAAATGTGGATTTGTTTTTAGAAACTCATCATTGATACCCATTGGTTTGTAGTGGTACTCACCTATAAATATGAATTTGTGTGTTAAAAGGGAAAGCTCCTGCTAAACTTCAATTTAAAATTATCGAATTTATTTATTTTTAAATGATGAGATCTATAATTAGGAACGAAGACTAACTCCTTTCCATTTATAGCATATTTACCTTAGTTTGATATTATTATTTTTTATAAATGTTTATTTATTATAAATAAATTTTTTTCCATAATTGTAATATATTATGATTATTTCGTAAAATTGAGAATATAAATTATTATAAGTAACACAACCGACTCTAATCAATCTCTTATCAACTAAGCTCTTATATTATACTTTGTAAATAATTGCCATTAGAACTAACAAGGATCAATTCACCAATAAGTTTTTTCCATAGTATTTTTATGATTAACATCAAAACAGTTACTACTTTAATTAATTAATTTGAATTTTTGGGCTTGAATAGGTTATAATTTTTATTTTAAAAATTCGTTAACCAAGGCTAACATATTTGAACATGTCAATTAACGGTGCCTGATTGGTTATTTTCATATATACTAATTAATTAATTCTTGATTCTGAAATAGTTAAATAAAGTTATAATTGAATTAAATCATAGTCAGATTTGTTTCCTCCCAATATAAAAGATTAAAGTCTTGTAATCTACTTCTCGTTGACAAGAAGTGATGCAGTACTTAGATCTTAATTAACCTAAAAGTAGTGGAGAACGGTATATATAATAGATATGCTATTAGTTAATAAACTTCAAATAATTCCTCTGTTAAAAACAAAGGATTTGAAGTTAAAGAGAATATTTATATGACTCCTTTTCCTTTTCCTTTTCCTTGTTATTATCAAGCAGCAGACAGCAACGTGAAATGTGAAATGTGAACTGCAGCCTGAAACTGAATGGAAAATAAATGAAGAAAAATGGAGACATGTCCCCTTGATAGCAAGGCAAACTAAATTAAAATGCACCACCAACCAAACTGCGATCGAAAACTACTGTCTGCATGCCTGCCCAGGTACTCTTAAGTATGTACAGAAAAGAAAATCGTGGGACCCATATCCATAGATCTTATAGGCATATACCAATATATAGGGATCCCATCCAAAACGTAACTACTTGATCAAAAATAAATGCGCCATCGCAGTTAATCCCATATTGATGAATCCATGCATTCATCGTTTTCTAAATCTGTGGTCCCCTTTCTCAGACAGAATGCTGTACTTTCTTCAGTCTTGACTGCTTCATCAGTTTGATGACTTCCTTCTCTTTTATCTCTCTCATCTTTATCTCCCATTTTCCTAGTTTTTCTTCTTCTTTTTTCTAAATTCAATTGTATATTTAGTTTCATCCCATGTTATTCAACTTGCATTCACATGACACTATTACATTCACATGATATGATACCATAACTTAGTCCTTGCTTTCCATTCATTTACAGGATGTCAATAATGCAATAACTAGCGTAAGAAACATGTCCAAGTCCTCGAAATAAGAATACTACGTAGGTATACTAATCAAACAAAAAAAAGAAAGTTACAGTTTAACTTTATTACTTTATTTAAGGTAATTGATCAAATTTATTATCCATCAAGAAATATATAGAAGAATATTTTACAAAATATTTTATTTTAATTTTATGATTTTTAAATCAAATTAAAGATATAATAATAAAATTACGTCGTTCGTAAATTTCAACAAAAAATTAATTTCTGAATTGCAAAATTTAAACTCTTATACATATGTGAAAATTGCATGGACGAAGAAGTATATACGAGAAGTGAGGAAACCTCAATATTCAATCCCCTCAGAGAAGATAATAACCGCTGGATCAAGCCGGAGTTATCGTTGCAAGGATGAAAGTCATTGATCAGTCCATCGTTGTCTCCAAAGAGATCTGTTGCGTGTGTGTTGATCTACACTGTCAAAGTTGAGTTGTTGTGTAGTTATTAGGGGGACAGTGATGAGGCCAAAAATAGGAAGCGCAAGTGATCAAAACTGATTAATGCAATGGGGAGTTTTTCTCACTGTCCCACATAATAAAATAACCTTTCAGCCGCCCATGCAACACGTTCGGCCTTTGCTCCACACATATTTAAAGTGCCTTTAATGGATTTGATATAACAAAACTAATCAGGATCAAAGCCACAATTAATTTTTCATGACTTTTTCAAACTTGAATCTAAGCGTATACTTATCTCACTATCCTTCTTTATCTCTTTCTTCTTTTCTTTTTATTCATCTCTCCAAAAGGTTTGAACTTTGAATGCTATATATGCACATGCATGTTTCAGAAGTCAAGCATTACAACAAGACCTTAAATTTCTTCTGACCCAGATCAGCTCTGGTGGTAAGAAAAAGAATGAGGGTGAAATAACATTTTAAGTTTTATGATTTTATTTTATTATTTTTTTTACGCATAACAAAGTATATTGAATTACTTTACATTAATAATGACAAATGACCTAAATTGCCCTTTTCTATGTTAAAGGTTCACTCTAATTTGATTTCACACACACACACACACACACATATATATAACTAGTGTTTGCTACATGTATAATGTATGTGAATGATTGAAATTTTGAAAATAATAAGTAACTAACATTTGAAGTATAAAAACATGAAACATACGTGAGTAAAAAAATTATTCTTATGAAAAATATTGAAATTAAAGAAATTTTATGTATAATATAACTAATTAAAATTTAATAATGAATTTTGACATATATTTTAGCAATCAATTACAATTGCTTGTTAGTTATATATTTAATACTAACATAAGTCAAAATTTAAACATTCATTAAGACATTATCAGTGATAAATCACTTATAAACAATAACATAAATCAATCCAAATTACTTATATATGTAATTAAATTATATTAGTTATTGAGTGAAAAAAGTGGTTTTAGTTGACATTTGATTGACTAATAAGTTGAAATTACAAATAAATAATTGTTTTATTCTATTTGACGGACTAACTTATATTAATTAAAACCCTAAATAATCGCATTAAAGTTCTATATTTTTTAATTTAATATCATCCTTCTTGCAAGTAAAAGCAAAAAACAAAAAAAAAAGATAATGATTGAATGGAATTAAAGATTTTTTATATAGTTTAAATTTAAATTTTGTTAAAAACAATTTACCAGGCAACTATAGCACACAACTAGT